TCCTTATTTTCTGTGCCAAATCTGTTCTCTATTTATAGATGGAATTAAATGTGGGTACTATGAAAGTTGAATGAAATGTGCAAATGAGCCTTTTCAGGGTAGTATCTGTATTTTGGCAGCATACTTCTGGGAGTATCAAAGCCTGAGGGGGATGCTGGATTGAGACTCTTCTCTTAGGAGCTGTTTCTCCAGTGGAATAATGGTCCTGTGCTGGAGTCCTCAGCTTCTGCTTGTCAGTGGATGCTGTGGCCAGGGTCAGGAGCTGTCCTCACTGTAAGGATTCTTACTCATTCTTGCCTGCTAAGACTACAGTTCCCACTGTACCATCACTGCCTGCTAGGTTTTAATTTTTTAAATGGAATGAGTAACTACTTTGAAATGATGAATGTACTTTGATAGATACACTCTTTCAGTACTTCAGATGGATGGGCACAAGTAGTAAGACCTATAATTGTGGTGCTGTGATGTAAGACCTGCATCCTGTGGTACTGTGATGTAAGACCTGCATCCTGTGGTGCTGTGATGGAAGACCTGCATCCTGTGGTGCTGTGATGGAAGACCTGCATCCTGTGGTGCTGTGATCTAAGACCTGCATCATGTGGTGCTGTGACACATCATGTACCCTCTCATCTCCACAACAGCACTAACTCTAACACGTGCTTCTCAAAAACACCTGGGAGCCGAAGTGGGGTTAGGGGAATAGTATAAGAAATCTTGTCTATCCAGTACTTAATATTGTGGTTTGTGTCTCTTTGGAAAGGCATCTAATAAAAACTACAGGAAGTAAAGATTCCCAAAAATCTTAGTTCATGAAGCCATGTAAAACACAAGAGAGACAGGTTTAGAATTTGGTATAGTTTGCATGTTGGTAGTTCCTTGTATATTATAAATGCATAGTGGATGTGTTCTTACAGTAGTTACAGGTTTTATTATAAAATCAAGTTTCATTTTGTTGCCAACATGGATCTCTCTCTCTCTCTCTCTCTCTCTCTCTCTCTCTCTCTCTCTCACGCACACACACACCCTTATATCTTTCTTTTTCTTCCTTTTGTCCTTCCCTGGCCTACAAATTAGGGCTTCGTTTGGTTTGGTTTGGTTTGGTTTGGTTTTTTGTTTTTTGTTTTTTGTTTTTTTTCTGGGTAGAAGCTAAAAAGGTAGGATTATAGAAGTAAGATTGCTTTGCTCAGTCTCCAGTGCTGTTAAAACAAGGAATGTTAGGACTTTGTATTATTCAGAACTCTTGGTTACAAGCAATGCAGATCCTATTTAAGTTAGCTGAAGTTAAAAACTGATAACTGGGGATATTCTGGCTTTCAAAATTAGAATCAAAAGGTTTAATTGAGAGTTCCAAGGCTTTCTGTCTCCAGTTACTCTCTACACATCCCTGGTTAGAGTCCTGACTCCCACGACTTCATGATGTAGATAAAAAGACATTAACATTCCTACCCACTCCTCTCCAAAATTACTAAGATTTATTTTGTTGTGTATGTGGGGGTTGGGGGTGTAGGTGGAAGTGCCCATCATCCCAAATTATTTCTTTTTCAAGGAAAAACTCCCAAGTTATCCTAGCTGTCCTCTCCAGACCAGTCAGTTATAAAAGGAATAGAATACCATAGCCCAGCCTGCACACACACGCACACACTAAAATTACTAAATTACTAAATTTTTAAGTTATTTGGGGGCAGAGAGGTTGTCATAGTGGGTAAGAATACTCAGTGTGCAAGCATGAGAACCTGAGTTCAGATGCCTAACATACATGTGAAAAACTGGGTAGTGTGAGTCTCTGCATCTGATTGTGATTGATTGCTGTCTGCTGGGAGGGGAAACAACTCTGATGAGGAGTTAAAGTTGTACTGATATGTGGATATAAGGATAAGGGTTTAAAAGGCAGCTTCTCCGTCACCAGCCATGGTTCTTGGCCAGATTTGCAATAACAGGCATGAGTTTCCTCCTGGAAAGCAGGTCTTACCTCCAGTTAGAAAGTCATTGTTTATTCCCACAACATCCATGCAACCCGTTATACCACTGGGCATATCTGACAGGCTGGTCATTATTGTAGAGATCACAGAAGCGGGAGGATCTGTCTCTGAGCTCCCTCTTGATGAACTACAAGAAGGGGCTATCCCATAGCTGGCACTGAACTTTTTGTTTGATGACCTATTGCTTATCTTCTTATTAGGGTACCCTATCAGTTAAACTCTTATTTTTAAAACACACACACACACACAAAGTAAATTTTCATATGGCTTTGTAAAACATCTGTAATGTTACTTACTCATCCCCTCTCCCCTCCTCCTTTTGTCTCCTCCTTGTCCCCAGCTTAGCCTCCTAATTACTTCCCACTCACACTAGTTGTGGTCACCCACCTTGTGACTTCTTTCTAGCTTCCTGACTTCCACAAGTACCCCAGTTTAAACAAACAAAATTCAAAGTCTAGGCTCCACATATGAAATAGAATGTGTGATATTTGTCTTTCTGGGCCTAAATAACATCAGTCAATGCCCTGTCCCCATGTCGTTATCCATTCTCTAGTAGATGGACATCTTCACTGCTTCCTTTTCTTATTTATTGTGAATACAGCAGCAGTAAACATGGATGAGTAAGTATCTCTGTAGTGGAATATAGAGTTCTTAAGGGATATGCCCAGAATTGCTATAGCTGGATATTATGAAAGGTCTTTTTCTAGATTTTTAAAGTGTGGAATGCTTCACTAATTTGTGCATCCTCCTTGCCTGGGGTCTGTGCTAATTTCTGTCATTCTAATTTTATATACATCCTATAGAAGCAAGCACTGTATATAATTATATGAGCTGTTACAAGTCACTGTTTTTGAAGCTCTTCATAGTGAGTAAACAAGTATTCATGGACCAAATCTATCTAGAAATGATAGAAACTTAGAAATTATTAATAAAATGTTTCGATGATTAAACCCCCCAAGCCTCAGGTTTTTAAAACTTACTACAAATTGGGAAAATGCATTTTGTCTAGAATCATCCTAGAAGATGACTTCAGGGGGTATATTCTTGATGTCCTATTTAAAAGTCCCATTTGCAGGGTTACAAAAAAAATCTTCTTTCTCATATTTGTCTATCAGAAGAGCTCCCAGAAGAATTTTTACAATTTAAAATTGATTCTCTTGCCAGGGGTAACCTCCAGAAAGGCACGTTGAAGATACCCTTTATAGAAGGTATAAATCCCTTATAAAGTCTATTATCCTCTAAAAGGATTGTGTTTCATTCACATCCTTGGTTTGGACTGGAATAGTGCGTGTGTGTGCGCGTGTGTGCGTGTGTGTGTGCGTGCGTGCGTGAGTGCGTGCGAACTTTTCCAGGAGGTAAACAGACTTCAGGATTGGGACTTCAAAACTGGACTGACTTTGCACTGGCCTAGTTGCAGAGTCTGTGAGTAGAGAAGGATATTCAAGACTGATGTCCAGCATTCTGGGTCTGCCCTTTGTAATCAGGCACCCAGTACCATCTCTAAACACCATTGCCCTTACCTCTCCCAGCATCAGGTAGTCTCCTAATGGAGAATACCCACACTGTTAACTCTTTCCTTGGCCTCCACATTCTGTCATTTGCTCAGGCTTACTGTTTATTTCTTCTGGGTCTCAGCTCAGTCTTAGCCTTGAGTCCTCATTGGCTGTGTCTATGTGTCTAGCATGAGTTGTCTGTCCTCTTGCCATCATGTCTCCTTTCCTACAGTGTCAAGTCTAAACTCTGGCCTGTGCTCTACATTTCTTCTTCTAGCTATCTCACGTAGTATTTCTGTGCACTAGCCTTGAAACTCTGGAAATTTCATTTAGTCTCACTATACTTCATATTTCTCACAATAAAATGAGAATAAACTGTTAACAGCGTGATAGTGTGTGGGGTATAAAGGAGATAGGAGGGCGTAGAGCTCTGCCTTCAGCTGTATGTTCATAGACATACAGCTACAGCATTGTCTGAGACTGTGTTTCTCTCTAATGTTTTTCAGAATTCTATATATGCCTTTGTTCAAGTAAACTTTCCAAGATTTTCCCAAATGCAAAAAATGTTTTAAACATTTACTAATAGAGCATTTTAGCCTTTAGAGGCTACCAGTGGGTGTCAGCTCCCCTGGAACTGGAGTTACAGATAGTTGTGTGTCTCCACGTGTGTGCTGGGAACCAAGCCTGGCTCCTCTGTAAGAGCCCCTAGTGCTCCTAACTGCTAAGCCATCTCTCCAGCCTCTGCAGATAATCCATCCATTAATGTAGTTATCCATTCCTTAAAAATTTTAAGACCTAAGTATTAATTGAGTGCATACTGAGTATATAAAGCATAAGATTAATCAGGAATACAGACACTAATCAGATTATCTGGAAGGACAAGAAAGATACATGAGTTCTAGGTTTGATATCATACTTGAACACTGACTTTGGTGAAATAGCAGAGTTTCAGTACTTAAAGTATTTCCAAGGTGTTTGTCAAATGTAAAAAAATTATCATACAGGCAAGTCAGAGTCTTGATGGGTCCTTGCAGTATATACTGCCCACCTCCAAGGAATCCTCTGTATACCACCCAGGGCTGTGGTTATAGGGGAACTTTACCGTGTTCACAAAGGCAAGGGCAGTGCTTGTTTTGAGTCCCTAGTACTCACTCTGGGTCTTTTACATAAAACGTGCTCAAAAGAAGAGGATGACGGATTACAAAGCTCACTCTTCCCATGTGTTATAATTGATGATTCTTAATGTCTAAAGCAATCAAACTTCCTAGTTATGACTTTGGCTTAAATTCAAAGTGAGGTTTTAGAGAAATTTCTATTTTTTTTCCTATAACATTAATCATAGCTATGGCAGTCATTATGGGGAATGAATAAAGTGAATTCTGTCTCAACCCATGCAGGTGTTTCTTCTCGTGTTTCTCCACATTTCTGGCACAAGACCACATTGGTCCTGGAATTCCAGGGTGTGATTTCATAGCCTTAAAATGAGTTTCAAAACTACCCAACAGTTTTAATTCTGAATGTCTTGTAGCAAGGAACAAGGACCAACTCCATTGGAGAGAAAGAAGAAAGGAAAAAGGAAAAGTGAAACCACCGTGGAGAGTTTAGAGCTGGATCAGAGTCTTCCAAACCCATCTCTGCAGAGTCCTGAGGAGCCCAGTGAGTCTGCAGACAGCCAGGTACAGCTGTGGCTGGGGACCTGCTGGAGGTTATGGCCACTGGACTAGTCTCGACATTCATCAAGTGCTGCTCTGCCTGCAACTTACTGACTGAGCACACAGACCACACACAGGCTATTTCCAGGCCTGATAGATACATTAATAAGCTCCCAGAATTTAGTGTGTTTGCTGTCTCTTAAAGTAGTGTATTTCATATAGTCTTCAGAGGCAGTTAATGTGGAAAAATAAGTTGTTACTTGGGCTATATAAGGTTCAGAGACCTGTTTTACCATGTAGTGCTCTGAGTGCTAAACAGACAGTAACAGTATGCCAGAAAGTGACCTTGACATGCTGGGGATTTTCTTTCCTAAGTTGAGGTACCTTCTCTAGGACTTGAATTATAACATTTGAAAGTACCATTCCCCCCCCCACACACACACACACACCAACCCCCCCCCCATATACATAGCAAAGTATCTTAATTGGGGCACTGTTCAGAATAAGACCACACTGGTAGGTCCCCTTGAGTTTCTCATTGACCTTTTTTTCTAGGCAGGCATTGGCTTATCACATCAGTTTTCATAAGTCAGCATATTCATCTATTGTCAGAGCAGAGTCACCACATAGCCTGTAAGCTAGAGTTGGTGGCTGTTAGGTGACTATACTGGCAGAAAAGCAAGCATGGTGAGCTGATGGCATTTGGCAGAGTGAATGGTTTGTTGGATGATTTCTAAATGGAAATGAGGAAAAGTTTTTTGTTTTGTTTTGTTGGTTTTTTAAGAACCCCTCAAATGGGACTGGAGAGATGGCTCAACAGTTCAGAGCACTGGCTGCTCTTGCAGAAGTCCTGAGTTCAGTTTCCAGCAGCCAGATGGTAGCTCACACCCGTCTGTGTGATCTCATGCCCTCTTCTATCATGCAGGTGTACATGCAGATAGAGCACTCACATAAAGTAAATTATTCTTAAAAAAAAAAAAAGACAAATCCTTCACATGACACTAGGCATTGTAGAAGTGTGATGGTAAAGACGTGATCGTGACACACGGATGCTACAGAATATCTTTCAGAAGAGAAAGCAACTGAAGTTTTGCTTACCTTGTTTGGCCTGTTGTATTTAAAGTTTGAGTCTATGGAGACGTGCTACCTGTGACTACTTTCCTGCTGCTTGGAACCAGTGCTAGGCGGAGACAGGGCTTTTGCTGGTTTTTTGAGAACATCATTGTATTGCTTTGCCATGTGCTCTGCCTAAGAGTTGTAACCTGCCTAGTTAGAAGCCTCCTCACATAGTGACTTAGGATTTTGTCATCCTTAAGATCTCTGCTTTTATAGGTGTATAAGATTCTCTGTCTAAGTCCCAATAAAATTTGTTTTAATTTTCCATACTACATTTTTAGGAGTTGATGGTTATGTGAATTTGAAAAAAAAGTAAAAAGTAGCACCATATAAGAAAATCTGAGTGGACCTCAAAGACAGAATTGAGAGGTCACTTCCCATCCTTGTTGCTTGAGACTAGAAGCCCCAGAAAGGAATTAAAAACATCACTGTGGGGCTGTAATGGCCCAGGGTTACTGAGGAAAGGTCAAGGAGCGTCAGCCCCAAATACCTCAGACAGGAGGACAGCAGGTGTTGGCTATCTCCCCTCTCGCAAGCTGGCTCCCCCACCATCAACCCTAGTAAGAATTTATTACCCTGATAAGTATCAGGCTTTACTTGTTTGACCACATAAGGTCTCCCCTACAAACACCCCTGGATTCTACAGCCCCCGAGTATGTAGATGAAGCATCTTCCAACTCCTCTGCCCTGGCCAATAATACCCAGCTACATAAACCTTGCCCTAGAAACCCTGAGCACCTTCCCAGGGGCATAAATACCCCTTTCTCACCCCCCAATAATTGAGCCAGGTCTCTGAAGCTGTTCCCAGGTGTGTTCATTGCCCACACACTCATCACTGATAACCTGCACTGCAACACCTGTACCTGGATAAGCTTCCTTTCCCCCAGGCCAGTTCAGTGCACAGTGGGCCTGGCTGCCTTGAGGTAGAAGTGGACATGGGGTGACACATAATTACCACAATGATTAAAGCACATCTCCCTTAACTCTGCCAACACTTCAGAGATTGATAGGATTACTTTCTCCCATGCTATGTTAATTTAGTTTTTAATAAAAAGCATAGAAGAAACCTTTGGGATGTTACAAAAATCCAGCCTGGCTTGTCACTGAGTGTAGATGATGGTGTTGTGTGAAAGTGTTTGCTTTTGATTCACAGCAGCCTTGATGAGTGCATTTGTTCTGCAGAAACGGCGCTCAGGACGGCAAGTAAAGCGCAGAAAATACAATGAGGACCTGGACTTCAAAGTGGTGGATGATGATGGGGAAACAATCGCTGTTCTGGGAGCTGGCCGAACATCTGCACTCTCAGCTTCCACGCTGGCCTGGCAGGCTGAGGTACAGCCCTTGCATGACCTCACCCACTTGACAGAGTTGTTCTATGGCTCTTCACTGTAGCATGAGTTAGATCACCTTAGCTTCTGGTGGTAACTTTTTAGTGGCTTCCTACCGCACTTGGAATAAAATTACAACTCCTCAACAGCACCCTCATGATCATACTCTCTCCACTGCACCAGATAGCAGTCTTGAGAAGTGATTTTTCTTTCTTGTTGTTCTCCAGCTGAAAAGCTAGCCACACCATCTACCCATCTACAGCCTCGACCTCTGCTGGCTTGCCTTCATGATCTCGACCAGCACTTTATATAAGTGAACCACCCTCAATTAAATTTTGCATAAAATGCAGTCTCTGTAGAAAGAACCTTCCTGCCTCTTTTATCTAAAATAGAATCCTGTTTCTCATCCCAATGATTATTTCTTGCTTATTTCCTTCATGACATAACCAGTTTATAATTTTATTGGAATGTGTCCCCTCTATGGTTTTTGTTGTTGTTTTTAGTTATTAGAATGTAGGATTTTTGCTGTGTATGGTAAAATCACATCTATATTCTGACACTCTGGAGGCTGAAGTAAGAGAATCACTAATCAGTTTGAGGCCAGCCTAGACTACACAGTGACTTCTGGGCTGGCCTGGGCTATGGAATCAGACCCTATCTCCAAAAAAATTCCAAAAGGACTCAGTAGGGTAAAAACACTTTTCACTGTGTCTGGCAACCTGAGTCCAATCCCCAGAACCCATATGGTGGAAGAAGAGAACAACCTCCCGTAAATTGCTGTCTGACCTCCACACAGCTGCTAACATGCATTATAATTCCTTAAAAGTAATAATCTTGGTGGGTGGAGAGATGGCTCAGTAGTTACCGAGTATTGGTTTCTCTTCCAGAGAACCTAGTTTTGATTCCCAGCACCTGGATGATGGCTCACAAATATCTCTACTTCCAGGGGATCTAAGCACTTCTTCTTGCTCTTTGTGTAGCAGGCATGCACATGGTGTACAAACATGCATGGAGACAGTTATGCACATAAAATAATGAAAGAAAAAAAATTAGAGCAAAGTCTTAAACATAGTAAATACTTGTTTAGATAATGAAATCAAATGTACTCAAAATTACTGTGGTTTGACAGATGCATATTGTGAGCCTGCTACAAGGCCAGAGTCAGAGATATAGATGTAAGTATCCAGATGATTCTTTGCTCCACAGAGCTTTGTCTAATAGAAGACATAGAGCTTTACTAACACTGCAATTGGTATAGCCTACAAGTGTGCACTAGGCATAGTGACTACACAGAAGCTGGAGAGTATAATGGCTCATTCACAAGGTGAGGGCCTGAGAGACATTTGCAGTCAGCCATAGGTTCTGATGTGACCAATGGAGATAAGTATGGCTGACTGCTGAGGTGTGGTCTGTAGAATAAGAGCTGAAAGGCAGAAGGAGCCATACTGTGCGGAGCCATGGAGCTCCTCTACCATGTGTGCTCTTACTGTTGTGCATCAGATTCCAGGGAGAAGGTCTCAGTGAGTTAAAGCAGATGAGCAAAATGACCTTATTTATGTTTCAGTTGCATTGGCTCCCTTTTGGGAGCACTCGTTGAGAAGAATGATGGCATTGGGACTTGTAGTCATGTCCATTGAATGCTACTCAGGTGACCCTGGCATGGCAGCTGCAGTGGTCCTCACTACCTGCCCCAGTATTCTGGGTTCCTGAATGAAAGACACATACACACACTTTATATTTTGATGTGTTTAAAACAGCTCAATGGCTGTGCCACTTCCTAACCTCTACGTGGCTAATCCACCTCCCCACCTCCCCACCCCCACCCCATATTCCTGAATTGCTATTTACTAAATCCTTGCTGCCCCAGACCCAGATGTGCAGCCCTCTTGGGCTTCGTTCCCCCGGTGGCAGCTCTCTGTCCTGCACCTCTCAGTCGAGGTGTCTTAATTGGTTACAGCTCCAGGGATGTGATGCAGACAGAGAAGTAAAAGGGGGTTAATTGAGAAGGTCTATGCCAAGTATCTAGTGAAGAAAAGAAAGGGAAACAAGAAGCAGGCTGTGGGTGCAGGAGAGGAGTTGTTAACAGTAATACATTCTGGGGCACAAGCTGCCTGTAGTTCTGAAGCCCCTGTGCTGCCTGGCAGAATCTACTGCTCACACAGAGTAGGAGCAAGGTTCCCCAGACGCAAGTGGGTGGACAGAGGCTGGTGATGCCTGGCCTTCAGCCACCTTCCTTTTAGCCTAAAGCATCCTCATGTTACCTCACTTGTGTTTTCCTCAGTCTTCATAAGGAAAGCACAAAGGAGCAGGCACATACTATCCATAGCCATTCGTAAATGAGGCAGTGAATGATCCAGGTCTGAGTGACATAGTGCCTGACACTTTAAGTTGATTTCATTTTCTGCTAAGGTTTATCCAACTAATGAACGTACTAATTAATAGGAATAATGTTTTGATGTATTTCTTCTTGCAAACTGCTTGGAGTCTTAGAAATGCATTCTTTATTAGGCTTTCCTTGAGCATTGTATGGTTTAATTGGTTGTTAAAACACTAACAAGGGATTTTATTTCCTACTAGAAGGCATTTATCCTGAACCATTTATCTATCGTATTTTAGGTATTTCTTGACTTTCTGAAGGTGATAGTTACTAATCTGTTACATGATCTCAGAAATAAGTCTTTTCTAAGTATATAGTAAAGAGTTTTATGTAGAGAAACAGAGATAGAATTTGAACTTGTATTAGTTATATCCCAAAACTTGACCAAATTTAAATAAGAAAGAGCCTGATATGTCCTCTCTTACCAGATTTGATGTTCAGAGTTGTAGTTGTGTAAATATCTAATATAGAGTCTAAAGCCTAGGCTAGGAGACCTAGGTCTTGAGAGGGTAGCTTATTGAGAGGTTTTTCAAGATCAGAGACCTAGCTGCTACAGAACCAAATGCTCCTTCCACATTTGTTTTTACATGTAGAGTTCTTGATGGGGTTTGAGCCAATTTCCCAAGCTAACACAAAGCATCAATGCGTGTATCCTTTTTAGGATGCTGGGCAATCTTTGAGGCACAACAAATCATTTAAGGAAGGTGAGCGTTTCTTCTGTCCTCCCTGTAAGACTCTTCAAGTGCTATTGTGGTGGTGCACTTGAGAAGCCAGCCTAGTCTATAGAACAGCTGGGGCAACATTTAAAACAAAAGGCCTGCTCAGGGACTTCTGTCTAGTTGCTCAAGACTGTCAGTTTTGTCCTCCCAAGTATTTGTGCAGTTTATGTGATTTCATCCTTTAGAGCAAACAGGCTTTAACTTGAATGAAGTGTTAGCTCATAACATCACCATGTCTCTCTGCACTCTCAATGCCCTCCTTCTCTGGCCTTTGCCATGCTTTGCAGGCTAGGTTCCAGTTCCCTTTTGAGGATGTCCTTGCTCCCCCTGAAATAGAGATGTACCCCACTCTGCTGCCAGAACACTCTAGTATAGTTAGCCCTGTCACTGTCCTTTGAATATCTGCCAACTCACTTTTTCTTATAAACCACAAGCTACTTCAGAGACAGGTTTGTATCTTTAAATTAAGCCTTAGGAGCCTTCTTAGATGCGCCTTTCACAGCACCTTCTGTCTTCTGCTTTATAATGTTACAGTTGTATTCATTTGCAGTGTTGAGTCAGCTGCAGCCCTGGAACCAATCACAGTGTCAAATGAGTTTTCATTGCCTTGACTCTACTTTTTTTAGTATTACTCTTGTTTGGCCCCTTTAATCAGATTATAAACTTTTGCAAAACAGAATCAGTTTTTAATTTTTCATAATTTTCACTTAGGTACAACTTTGTGTTAGTCATTAATATTTACATATTCTTCATTTTATTTTATTTTTTTATACTTTTTTTTTTTTAAGATTTATTTATTTTATTTATGAGTACACTGTAGCTGTCTTCAGACACACCAGAAGAGGGCATCCAATCTCATTACGGATGGTTGTGAGCCACCATGTGGTTGCTGGGATTTGAACTCAGGACCTCTGGAAGAGCAGTCAGTGCTCTTAACCGCTGAGCCATCTCTCCAGCCCCATATTCTTCATTTTATGCATATATGTGTTTAATGAGTGAACATATTCAAACTCATTATTTAAATAATACTCTCATACTTGCATATTTTTCCCAGTGGCACTCACACTTCTTACCTATAACACAGTCACTTGGGCCTTCAGATCCCTCCCTACTGTTTGCTGTTACTGTTCTTGTGTACCCTCCAGTGTGATTCTATGCCATGACATCAGTTTGAGTACCTGTACTGTTGTGCTCCTTTCCACTCTTAGCCAGAGTTCTGGTTTGTTTTATGCCAACTTGACATAAACTAGAGTCATCAGAGAGGAGGAAACCTCAACTGAGAAAATAACTCAGTAAGAGCTTGTTGGAGGCAAACAAACCTATAGGGTATTTTCTTAGCTAGTGATTAATGGGAGCAGGCCCAGCCCGTTGGGGCCACCCCCAGGTTGGTGGTCCTGGGTTCTATAGGAAAGCAGACTGAGCAAGCCATAAGGAGCAAGCCAGTAAGAAGCACCCCTCCATGGTCTCTGCATCAGCTCCTGCCTCAGGATTCCTGTCCTGACTTACTTCAGGGATGAACAGCAATATGGAAGTGTAAGCCAAATAAACCTTTTCCTCCCAAATGGCTTTGGGCAGGGTGTTTCATCACAGCAACAGTAACCCTGATTAAGACAGCCAGATTTAGCCGGGCGGTGGTGGCGCACGCCTTTAATCCCAGCACTTGGGAGGCAGAGGCAGGCAGATTTCTGAGTTCAAAGCCAGCCTGGTCTACAGAGTGAGTTCCAGGACAGCCCAGGCTATACAGAGAAACCCTGTCTCGAAAAAAAAACAAACAAACAAACAAAAAAGACAACCAGATTTGATGGATTCCTGTCTCTTTATTTCTTCATGGAGTACGACCACTCTCCTCACATGTTCTCTTGAGGGTTTCTTCTGCCTATAGCCTATGCTCAGGTGAGTGTTCAAATC